CTGCGCCGCCGCCGCCGCCGCCGCTTTTTCCGCCGCCGCGCTGTTATCCCCCCCACCATCCCCTTCGCCGTCCGCCACCATCGCCGCCGACGCCAACGGTTTCAAGCCGTCCCCATCATCGGTTTTCTCTAGCGCAGCCGCCGCTTCCGGCGGGGACGGCGGCGGCGACGCCGGGGGAAAGGCCCGCAGAAGCGCCGCGCGCAGCGGCCCCTCGCGCTGGCCGGACTCGTTGAGCCAGGCCACGAGAGCATCCACGTCCCCGTCATTCTCGTACACCATCAAGTCTTCCTCGGCGGGGGCCGGCCCCCCGGGGGAAGGGACAAGCTTCCGCCAGCTCGGCTGTGCTCCCCAGCTCGGCTGTGCTCCTGCTGCTACTCCCGCCGCTTTGGCGTCCCCGCCGGCGCCGTCCGCCCCCGTCGCCTCGGAGACTACAATGTCCAGGCCGTCGCCTTTGCCCTCTCGGACGGGGTGGCTGACGAAGACTCTTCTCGAGTCTCCGGGGAAGCGGTAGTAGAACCGCCCGTGCCGGTCGCGGCCTAGCGGGAGGGTCTGGTAACCCCCGAGGCGGATGGCCTCCTCTACCGCTTGTTCGCGGAGGCCCCTGAGCTTGTGCTGTCAGTCAGGGAAACAACGACACGCAGCAAAGGGTAGAGAGAGAGAGCGAGCGAGCGAGAGAGAGGGGATGGGAGAGCGAGAAAAAACTGAGGTTAACGTCAACGACGCGCTCGTGGTGGAGACAGCAGTGCACAATGGTTTTAGTACAGCAGTAGGGGACCGAACCGAAATATTGCTTGTCAGAATCACCTCCTTGCTACAGGCACAAAGCCACCACGCCCAACAGACGCGCCAACACACAACGTGCACGACTCAGCACCCAGCTGACTGACTGGTAGCAAGCGCCGAGGTCGATGCCAACGAAAGAAAACAACGCACCTGCGCCCGCTCCGCTCGAGCCTTGAACATGCTCTGCGCACAGACTTCGTGGACCACGGGCCCCGATGCCCGGGGCGACCTCCCCACGCCTCCGCCCCCGCCTTCGCCTGGCCTTGCCCTGCTGAATCTTGGAAATCTGACCTTCCTGTGGGGGTTAGCGCCCTCCGCACCGCTCCCGTCCCCGTTTTGCTCCTGCGGGGGGGCGAGAGGGTTGTTGTTGACGGTTTCGTCAAAACGCTGGTACGGCAGTAGTAGTGGTCCGTGTGTAATGGTGCCCAAGGGATGAGGCCGAGGACACCCGGTACTACTCAATAGCTTGTACGATATAAGACAACTTGAATATTCCATCTGTCTGTATCACGTGATTTCATCGACCTTATCTCTACAGGGCGACCGGACGTACTCATGCGGCCGTGTACAGGGACCATTACCGCTGCATTGAGGACGTTTTGGTTATATGAGATGCGAGGCGTACAACGGGACACAGCACTACGTCGAAACCAGGGCAGCGCCAAAACCATACAGCCGAGATAAAAGAGACACACAAGGGCCAAAAGGCGGTAGCCGCGCGCGACATCGCTACCCTAGCGTTTCAGTCACCCTCAGAGTGTGCCAGCGGCTTGAATAACAAGGTGGGACGACCTCAACCAAAAACGAAAACACAAGAATAAGCCAGTATCCAGTCGGTTTTCCTCCCACTCATTGCTGCAATAAAGACTTCAACACATGCCCTTCAACTACTGCCGTGGCTATATCTCGAACGGGGGTAGTCTTCGTTTTCTTTTTTCCCGTTTTTGTTTCCTGTTTTTTTTTTTTTAGGTGTATCGGTATTTTTCTGAGAAACAACAAAGTGCTCACCGCCTCCTGCTGCTTGAGGAACGTTTCCGCTTCCTCCGGGCTCAAGTCCACCACCATCGGACTGCACAGCTCCTTCTCCATCTTGAAGCAGTATTCGCACTCCAGCTCCCCGCCGCCACCGCCGCCGTTGGCTCTCGGATCGGGCAAGAGGGCGTCCTGGAACCCGCAGAGGGAAGAAGAAACAAAAGGCGTGCGTCGAGGGCAGGACAAGCGAGCCGATTGCGCTCGTGACTTCGAGTCCACGTGCTGCAGGGAACGCTGGAGCATTCAATTGTCCCGCAGCGATTTGAAACAAACAAAAAATCAATGTGAATGAAAACCTTAGATAGCTTTGATGACTTGAGTAGGGGCATGTAAAGAGGGACCGGCGGCTACTATCGAGGACTGCTCACCTCTATTCGCGTCCCCCCCCCCCCCCCCCGCCTGGATATGTAAAAGTAGCAATTTCAACCCCAATATCAACAGGCATCGACTGGCTGACAAAAACAACAACCCATTCACTCGCAGCTCCTTACCGCCCAGTCGATGGCGTCGCCGGGGAGGTTGCGGCAGCGGCGCTTGATGCACGGCTGCTTGAGCTTGTTGGGCCCGTTGTTCTTCTTCGAGTCCAGGCAGTACTTGCACCGGTCGCACGCCTTGGCGCGGCATCCCACGCAGATCCCACACCGCTTGCTGCGCTTCGCTCCAGCCCCGCCGGTAGCCGGCGCCGCCACCTCCCCCCTCCCCGCCGTCGGGGGCCCACTTGGGTTGCCCCCGGGGGGTTCCTTGGGCTGATGCCTGTCCTTCTCGACCCGAATTTTGGAGTCC